CAAAGTTTTCATGAGAAGTAAAAGGTCACTGTAAGCCCTAAACTGATGTTCCCAGGGGATTGATATTTCCTCTTACTTAAGTGTTTATTAGAGATCAAAATTTAATCACTTATCAAAGAAACAAAGGGGCATTAAATAAAAAGTAATATATACATAAAGGTAATTCTATTCTAGAAAATAATTTTTGATCTGTAAGGAACTTTACAAATACTTAATTTATAGGACAGAAAATTGAGAACAAGAGAGATAAGATAATGCCCATGGACATTCAAATTATTTAAGACAGAAACAGGATCAGAAGAAACAAATTTTATCTGTTAGAAAATGTGCTTTGAGTGTATTTAATTCTAGAAAGTAACTTCTGGATTTCCCTTTATTGAGGGATGGTCATATGATGGGCAGTTATGAGTCAAAGCTCAAATAACTTCTACTCATATTAGCACCTGTGACCTTGTACCATGCCTGTTTTCTCATGTGAAAACAAGGTATCTGGTGCATACATGTGCTCACTGAATATTAGCTATTAACTATTACTTAATATTTTGGCTAACTTAGATATATCTTGAGTTTTGATAAAAAATGGTTCATATACTTAAGAAGCTTAGAAATAGCAGAAAAGGGCAACACACAGTTATTTAGTAAATACTTATTAATGACTTAGAATGTGAATACTGGCTAGTTATCCACAGACTGTTATGGATCTATGGGAGCATAAAACATCCAAACCAGCCTGAGAGTGAGGGTGATGTTTTTCTCTGGGAAATCAGTATAGGGAGATTTATAGGGGAGGGCTATCAGGATCAATCCTCGTGGCAGAGTCAAGAAAGCAGTACTGAACAGAGAGAGGATGGATTCACACACAGTTACGGTAAAGAACTCAGCTAATCCCAAGTCAATTCTGGACCCTTCAGAATTGTCCCAAACTGGGGCAGGGGGTCCTTTATACATTCCCATATTGACTAGTCATTGGATGCAATCTGTCTGCAGGAAGGAAGAATGATCTTGTGTGATGTGACTTTCTTCAGCCACAGGCAATGCTCAGGCAGGGGACCCTGGCTACAAACTGTAAACCAGCAACATTCCCAGAAGGTGAGAGAAGTAGGGCTATTGTTCTGCAGGGACACTGTGGGTGAGTTCATGTGACATCACAACACATACCATTGTAGGTATTGGGGAAAACTTCCTGGGGTAAAGGAAAATCTTAAAGACTTAGAAGATGTATCCAAAGTTGAGTTTATGTGCGGGGGTACAGATATAACATAAACAAAGATACAGAAGGTTTAGAGAAACTGCAAGTAGTTTCTAGAACATGATAATGAGGAGGTATCTGGTTAAGTGAGGTTGTGGGAGAGTATATTAGTGATATCTGAACAAGTCATGAAGACTTTAAAGTGACAGACTTTAATCTATAGATTTTTTTTTTTTTTAAGAGTGAGAGAGAGTGATCTGGGGAGGATGGCCAGAGGGAGAGGGAGAGGGAGGGAGATTCTTAAGCAGGCTCCACACGCATGCGGGGCTCAATCTCATGACCCTGAGATCATGACCTGAGCCAAAATCAAGAGTTGGATGCTTAACTGACTGAGCCACCGAGGTGCCCCTAACCTATAGATATTTGAACATTGTTGAAATATATGAATGAGGACGGAGACCAAAGTCAGATTATCTTTTAGAAAAACCATCCCAACAACAGTGTGGGTGATATATTTGAGAGCACCAAGACTAGAGGCAGGAAAGCTGTACAATAGTTTGGGTGTTAGATGATGAAGACCTGAATAATACTACCTCTCTAGAGGAAGTATTTACTAATTTCACATTAAATGTGTGTTATTTTACATGACGTGTTTATCATGATACTCTCACGTTATTTTTTTTCTTATTTATATTCTCCTGGGTTCCATAGATTTTATTTTCTGACAAAATCATTTGGGGTTTCCTTAGAGGATAAAAGGAAAATATGTGTATTCTATGTACATTGTAAGCTTATCTATCCATTCAACAACACTTACTTTTATCAGTATGTGTCCAGAGCATGAGAAAGATTTTTTAAAATTAGATTTATACATTATGACCATAGCTATTATAAGGGTTTCCAAAATAAAATTTCTGTTAAGACAGTATACTTAAAAAAAAACTCAAAAAATCATCTGAATTTAATTTGGGAGAGGAAAAAATATAGAAAATTTAAAGACATAAAACAAAAACCTAAAATCTAACATGAATTCCATAGCTCCATTTTTAGTTGAAATTTACTTGAGTCTGAGCAGGTGAGTTGACCAAAGCCTCAGTTTGTTTAAATGTGTCTAGTAATACCTACCTCAAAAATTCATTGTGAATACTGAATGCCTAAAGTGTTAAAAACCATTTCGTAAATTATAAGACACTATACAAATGCTAGTACTAATCCTTTTAACTAATTATCATAATGAGACATTCCTTCCTAATTCAGAAGGAAGAGAAATAAGTGGGGGAAAAGCAGCAGCAAAGTTGGACATCTGGAGCTCTAACTCAGGCCACGCTTGGTGTTCCTGGCTTGAGTGAGTGATGATACAGGTGGAGAGGGAAGTCACAAGGGTAAACACCCTTTTCAAGCTTCTGTTTGATTTTCTTTGAAAGAGTAAATAAGACCATTTTACAGTGTGCTTATTTTCAGTAAGCTCTCACCAGAATAGACATTATGTTTAAATGAGTTCTAACTTCCCATTTGATGCCAACATGAATCTTACACTTAATTGCATGAGAAGGTGATGATTACACACCTATTTTCTGCTGGGTCCTGGCAGGAGACAGGGCTAGAGCTATCAACTTTATTACAGCAGCATTACAGAGTAGAAACCACACCAAACTCAGTAGGAGTCAAACATTCCCTATTTAAGGCTTTCTCCTTCCTTGGGAACAATGTTGCATATTTCTGGATCTCAGCTTTCTTTTCTTGACAACCCAGAGGATTGGAATTAAAGTATTAAGTGCCTTCTGGACAATCCTGAGTCTCTAGGTTCATAATTCTCTCAAGAAAGAAAAATGGGGATCCCAGAATGTGTGCCTCACTCTATCTGGGAAGACTTGCTTTTCAATCACAGATCTGCATCAGGTGGGTGAAGATCAGAATCATACAGCGAAGGAATGGGAAATGCTCAGTGTGGTCAGTGGGGCATTCTAAGAGGAAGTAAGTGCTCCTTCCTCAAACAGATGCCAGAATGACATTCATACCACACACCCTAAAGCCTACTCTGGATTCTGACAATCTTCCTAAACCAGTCCATGCACTCTTTGTCTTCATACCACCCCCGCCTCACAAACACATACACATGTGTGTGTGCATGTGTACGTGTGCACACACAGACACACAAATCTATTTACCTACTAAGAACTGAGAGAGATTTTGGAAAAGAACCAAAGCAAATTCTTCAGGAGCCTAGAAAAAGACTAGACTAATTATTTGCTAGTCCTATTGTCAGGCTGTCTGACATTAGCCAAGTTTCATAGAGTTTCAAGTTTCAGGTTAAAACATTTACATAAGAGTACCCCTGATGTTTTACAGTGGTTTCTCTTGTTATAAAACTCCCCAAATATTGACCTCTTTGGAAATATTTCTTCTTACACTCCATTGCATGTTATAAATGTCTCTTCTTTGGTTTCTTGAGTTGCCATTATGTACACCCTCACTACCCTCCCATGAGGCGATGAAAACCCTTTGGATCCATTTCTCATCCCTCTGTTGTGGTGACATCATCACTGTTTGTCAAGAAAATGATTCTTATGTCTCCAAGGATCCAATCCCATGCATAATCCATTAAAATGAGATGTGTTCATGAAAAAGTTGTAGATTCAAACTCTACAAGAATAGTATGTCTCAAAAAGACATAAGCAGCAGAAATGGTTGAGCTACAAGATGTCCACACAGGTTGGAAAAAGAACAGAAGGCTTTGGTTGCTGTCACTGCATTTTGTTTGAAACTATGTACCAATGCTTTAATGTACACAATCCAAAACTTATGTAGAGTAGTTACAATACGGAGAGTTAGAAATCATTGCAACATTAATTTACTGATTATGAAACTCAGTCACACACAATTATTAAGGACCTGTTATGTACCAAGTATTACATTAATGGGTAGTGATATAAAAGTAACGGAAATATATTCCCTGTTCTCAAGGAATGCCAGCCAGTTATTTAGTGACCTAGTTAGTTACAAAGCTGTACTGTGGGGTCTGGGAGACTAGAGATCTCATCACCCACTGCAAAATTAGCAGTGCCTAGTAGGGTTCCTGGAACACAGAAGTAACACAATAAGCGTTTGGGGAATGATTTTACAATACTGCATTACTTGCTTAGTTTTTTTCTAGTGTACAAGCTGTTCATTGAAAAAAAATCAGAGATGTTAATAGGAAAGTGTATAGTTTGTCCATTTGTACATCTACAATGATGTATTGTGTATATTGATACCATTATTTGAATTATTTTTGCTTTTGCATTTGCCAAAAATTTCTAAATTATGCCCCACCTTATCTTTTATGTAAGTCACATAAAAACATAACATTTTACCTTTCCTTTGTCACTTTTAAAATAATGTGAAAAAATAATAATTTAAGAAAGGTAAATAAAGTGTAAGTAGAAAATCTTTTGATAGAAGGGTACTTATTTCAAGCCACTGAGTCTGAGTCAATTCTCTGTCATCAATTTTGTACGTATGAATTCACGGCACTGATCTCATCACAGTAACAACAATAACAACTACAACAACAATAATACTGTGCTGGACTCAATTCCTCATCCTCTAGAATCTGAGCCAATATCAAAACAATCCATCTGTGAAAACTGAAATTTTAATGCTTTTAAGAAGTATTTACTGAGTTTTTTTATTATCACTACCATAGGCCTAGACAACCTAATTTTCATTTTGAAGCATGATTTGCACCATTTTTGTCTTTCACACTTTTCCACTGTAACTAGTAGATGGCAAGGCCCAAGGCAGTTGAGCCCTACATGGAAGGAGGACTTACCTGTAGTTCTGCTTTTCATTTCCTATGTGGAATCTGTCATATTGTGAATAGGCTCGATTTCCTTCCCAGTCCATTAACTCGATTCTCAGTGTGTACTGCCTCTGACTGGTTATGGCAAAAATAAACTCATTCCCCAGCCAATATTCGCCAGAGGGATTTCCAAACCCCTACAAAAGGAGATAGAGATATGGTTGTTATTTCAGAGAAAACCTCTTATCAGGTTCAGTATTAACTACATTCTAAATAATAAGAAAAACTTCTTTAACAGTAAAGGTCATTTTTCACATTTTTACACACTTTTTCCCAATTACTGACTCAATACTTTTCTGCTATGTTTCCCTCCATTGGGCCCTGCGTCGAATTCTTATTACAGTAAAAGGCTGATATTCAAATCTGTGTAGGTAAAATGATTTCAGATTAAAGGAATCCCGTTAATAGGTTTGACCAGTAAACACTTCTCAGTCAGAGCTTGCTTTTGAAAATGTTTCTAAAATACTAGTTAACAGAATATTTTAAACATAATTTAAACATTTTCAATGAATATTATCAGATAAATTATTTAACAATATTATTGTTTCTGTTGTTGTTGCTATTACTATTATTATTTGGGAGTCAAATTATGCTAAGATAATAACTTAAACATATTAGTAGACCCTTGACTTTTCTAACTTTAATATTTTCATTTTTAAATATTAATAAGCAAACCTGTAAATCCAGGACTAGAGTCACTTAAATGTTTCACTGGCATGGATTTGGGTATTGAGGCAGGTTGACACGTAAGAGCTAGTGAGTGAAGCTCGCTGGCTTCTCTGCACCTGAATCTTAACGTGGCTCTTGTTCTCTGCAGGGGAAGCCCAATCATCGTTGTTAAGTGTTCAAAAACTGTTTCTTTGTGGGGGGGGGGAGGTGGTCCCCAAAGGAAAACCAACTCTTAATGTTGGTTATGTTAGTGATAGGAAAATAAGGAACCCTAAGAAATTGCCGGCATTCTAGATTTGGGTATTCAGTTTCTGAATCCCCAAAAGTATTCCTTGGTAATGCTTGAAGTTGAGTATAATTCTTGAACTACATGTTTGTCTTACTGACCAAACTGTGAGCTTCTTGAGGACAGAAGCTGTGCTGTATTTGCGACTAGTGGAATGTTGGCATACACTGGTACTCCATATGTTTCACTGACATTTAAAGGAAGAAAGGAAGGAAGGAAGGGAGGAAGGAAAATACTATAGCACTTTATAATGACATTCAGAGAAGTAGCCTTAAAACATAATTCTTGTCATAAATAATTTGGCTGAGTCTCAGGGAGGTGTTTTTTAAGGTGCCCACTGAATCATAATCACTGGAGCTCTGGCTGAAAAAAAAAATCCTGGCTCCACACTGAATCAAAATATTTGAGAACCAGCTCCATTGCATCCAAACAAGCTCCCTGTTTTTCCCTGTGTACTTTAATATTTGGAAGGCACACCTCCAGTGCCGCAGGAGATACTCTGACATTTCAGAAAGAAACTGATTCTGTTAATTGAAGTATTCATTTATAAAGGTTTTACTTTACCCATATTAAGAAGTATGAGAGTAGTACAAAGATAGCCAAAGCAATCCTCCTTTTCTCAACACAGATGATGGAATTTAGAAACTGTTTTTTTTAATCTAATGTATATCAACTTTACAGAATTATAACCACAGTAGAAGTATTCTTTTTAAAAAAGATTTCATTCATTTAATTTTAGAGAGAGAGAACAAGGGGAGGGGCAGAGGACAAGGGAGAGAATCTCAAGCAAATTCCGTGATCAGCATGGAGCTCAGTGAGGGGTTCAATCCCAGGACCCTGAGATCATGACCTGAGCCAAAACCAAGAGTCAGCTACCTAACTGACTGAGCCACCCAGGTGCCCCTACAGTAGAAGTATTCTTAACTGCTTTCCCTTTAACAAACCTAACATATGAAACAGTGTTCTCCACTCCTTCTTTAAAATATATTGACGATGGGGCGCCTGGATGGCTCAGTTGGTTAAGCAACTGCCTTTGGCTTGGGTCATGATCCCAGGGTCCTGGGATAGAGGCCCACATCAGGTTCCCTGCTCAGCAGGAGCCTGCTTCTCCCTCTCCCTCAGCCTGCCGCTCCCCCTGCTTGTGTTCTCTCTCTGCCAAGTAAATAAAAAATCTTTAAAAAAAATAAAAAATAAAATAAAATATATTGATGCCCAAAGTAAATTAAACGCATTTAATACATTTGTATACTACTGTCTCTGTCAACTGAGTTACTTACTAAATGTCCATTGTTTTGGGTCCCCAAACCGTTTACACCAGTTCCGTTATTGTAATGGTAAGACTCACAATTTTATGTAAATAATTTAAATATTAGTGGGAAAAAGAGTCATTTGTTTTGTTCTGTTTTGTTTTGATAAAACTTAATTTAAACATTAGGTTTGCTCAATAAAAGCAAATCACTAAAAAAATAGCTTTTGAATTATGTTTGTTGCAGCAACTCTAAAAGACTAGAAAAACAATAAAACATTAGAGGATTTTAACTTACATTGCTTTGCGTGTGTCTTACCTGCTCTAGTTTAAAAAAAAAAAAAGAAGGTAGAAATTTGATGCATTTAATTATGGGAAAGTTCTAGGAAAGAACCACTGACCGAGAATTTCAGGCTTTGGTCCTACATTTTAAAAAATAGGTAAATGAAGATATAATTGTACTCTTAAAGTTAAAATGAAATACATTAGTATATGTAAGCACACTTTTAAAGTTATTCCCCAGTTTAACTTAGTTTTTAATTAACTCAAACCCTTCATTCAGATTGCACTGGGCATATGCTCCCCTGAAGACCATCTACCTGTAGTTCAGAGCAAAGATATGGGATCCATAGAAGTCAGTGTTCCAGTGTCCCCTTGCTTCTCTGTTCCTAAGAAGCACAAGTCATACTTTGCCAGAGTTCCACAGTGGCAGGGAATATCAGAGCAATTTAGGATGTGCTAAGAATTTTACACATTTTCGTGGCAGTGGTGCTACATACCAGAAAGAAGAGTGAAGCTTACCTTCTCCAATAAATAAGCAAAACAGAAAGTTACAGGGCACTGAAAGTCAAATTTAGCACATTCTCAGTTGCAGCAGCCACTGGGAAGAAAAAGAAGACTGCTGGGATTTTCCTTGCATTTTCTTCTCAGCTCAGACGTGTCAAAACTCTCCCTCCAGCCACTGGAGGATTCCCTCTTGTGCATAGTTAGAAGGGAGTCAGCAACTATACTAAATGTGAATAAGGAAGCTGGGAATGATGAAGTGTTAAGTTCTAGGCCACACTATTTCCGTGCTGCTGAAAGCTCTGAATGGATAAAACTGTCCAGCTTCCCCAGGGACAAGGGCAGTGATCTCTAGTGAGCCTCAGAAACGGATAAGCCTTAGTGTCATTCCGATGGGAGCCTTGGTCCCCAGCTTGGCATGCAGGCTTCTACCTCCCTCTACGTAGAGAGTAACATCCCTTCCTAAACAGTTTGCTTTTTCTGAGTGAAAAGAGAGGAAGGAGCAACTGAAAAGAGAGCAACAAAATTTGATTTTAGAAATAAAAATTCCATTTCATGCACCTTCCCAGAAAAACTGTCTAAACATTCTCTATTGTGGGAACAAATTGTTGGGCTACAATGAATCGAAATGGCTGTTAGACAGGGTAGAGGAAGCTTTCTAAAAGCTAAGTGCAGCCATGCAGAAACAACTGTTCCATCACAGAAATGAAAAATAAGTCAAAGAAGGGAAAATGGTTCCCACAGTAGTAAACTGTCTCTTGGACAGCTTATCAGCCACACTACCAATGCGATGCCTACGAACAAAGGCTTAGCTTTGATTAAATAACTTCTACTCCCTATCTCTGCTCCAACTTGAAGCCTTGCTCTGCCCCATATTTGCTGCGGAACCTCCAATACTACTTCTTAGCCTCAGTTTCCTTATCTGCAAAACAGGGATTAAAAATGTCATTTCCATATATAGTGTTGTGAGAAAGAAATAAGATACCTAAAGCGTTTAGCTCCATGCTGATACAGGAGAACAACAAAATTCTCATTGTTATTATAGTTAAAGGATATATCACAAATACATAATAATTTTCTGTTTACTTGCCTCTCTCCCACCAGACTGTGAGCTATTTGAGAAGTAGGTTTCTTTCTATTCTGTACGAGAAAGGGAACAAAAATAGTCCAGGATCATGTCTTAGCCTGAAAATTAATAAGGGGATACTGAAACAATTATTTAAAAGGCTTTCAGATGCTAGGAACTAATGTATTCTTATGACAAGTTGAGTGTTGGTTTACATAAATGAGCACTGTCATTTTAATCCAAGAAGTTAATTATCAAATAAATTAAAACCAACTGGTTGACACGGGGGCTAAACCGTGCCATAAACCAATGCGTAGACTGCTTTTTATTCTTGCTTCTTCTTCCTAAGGCCAGGGAGAAGCTGAGTCCTCCAACTCTCCCTTGGTCCTATTTCTTTTAATCTCTTTCTCTCTATATCTCGTAAGTTTTAGATCTACAAAAGAGGTAATTTTTGAGATCTTACACGCATGCCAATAAATTGATAGTTTTGACATTTGCTTTCAACCAGGACTGCATATCAGAAACAGCTGTGGAGCTTTTTAAAAATATAGATGACTTGGTTCCCACACGGAGGTTTGGCTCCGTATGTCTGGGGTGCGCTTAAAGGTACATATATTTGAAAGGTTCCATGGGTGAGTGTGCTGTGTACCACAGGTGAAGAATCATATAATTATGATGCAGAATAGCTATTCTGCGTGCAAATAAGGAAAAATATATAAACCAGATCAAATTATCTGAGTGGCGCACAGGAAAGAGAGAAGCATAAAACCTCATCTTCATATGAAGCTCCATATTAGTAGACACGTTTTGATTATGTATTATGGGACTGTCCTTGAAAAAATATATATTGATGCCTGAAATGCAGAGATGGCCACATCCCCTAAAAAAACCAGGTTCATACCTTACTGCACACATAACAGCTTACCATAGATCTATATTTTATTCCAAAAGGCCTGTAACATCTACATGAATAAAAACAAAAGCTTATACAAAATTCAGTGCTGATGCTAAAAAAAGCAGCAAGTGTCTATCAAAACAATAAAAAGTACTAATAAAACTAGAATTTCTTCTTTTCTATAAAAAAATCCAACGATGCTAGGTCATATCCTTCCATGAAAACTATTATGATTAGTTACTTCAATCACAATCATATGCAAAATTTTGATACCATAATTCAGACAGATTGTTAAACTTCTCCTTTAGCTCTTTAATAAAAGGCAAAAAGATACTGGAACTTAACCTAGACTAATGCTGACTTAAAGTTGGCCCTAAAACCCATATATTATTAATAAAAAATGCACACAGAAGAAAGATCGATAGTCATTAGTTTTTGCCAAGACCTGCAGAAATACTCAGTTTTGGTTGCATGTTTCCAAGTTAATAAGGTAATTGTCTCTGATACTTTGTTGCTTTATTATTATTATTATTTTTGGTCTGATAATGCTCATAGGAAGTGTTGACTTTCTATAGCTGAAACACAAATGAAACCAGACACAGTTAATGTATTCTATGGGTTTCATCTTTTTTCATATAAACAATTAGAGAAAACAGATATGAAGCAGGGTTACTGATCTGTGGCTTTTCAGAGGTGCTTTAATACACAACTTAATCATGTATCTCTTCTAACTGCTGAGACACTCAGCCCAAGAAAGATCAAAAGGATGATTTATTTCAACATCTTAAATTTCTTATATATTTTTCTCTTTTTAATGTGAAGATGTTAAAAAGCAGTTCCAAATATGCTCTCAATTTCTTTCCAGAAACAAAGAACTCCCAGAAGGTATGGTGCTCAGACCGAAATATTTGTGTCAATAGGAAACTCTTTTTATGGGGGTAACTGTTTTCAATACAAAGCCAGGTTGTCTCCAGGGCATTAGTCACCACCTTCTATAAAGTTAGGCCACTAGGGTACTATCTGGAACTTCTAACTGGATTTGGCTTCATATATGCAAAAGTACTGCTGATAAGTGTTATTGCTGGAAGCCACTAAATGGTATCCTCATGGCTTGAAAGAGTTAATATGGTTCCCTAAGTGCCTCATTAAAAAGGCCCACTGCAGACTTCCCTCTGCAAACATCTTTACAAATCCATAAACCAGATTTTGCTGAATCCCCTCTTAAGGAAGGTTAAGTGAAAACAAAGCTCAGGTAAAAGACTTCTGTAGGCTTAAAGCCAATGTTAAGAACCAAATACATTGCAAATCTTCCATGTTGAGAGAGATTTAAACATAATAAATTACAATATATATTTGTAATTCATGTGTTGATAATCTTAACATACTGTTCTGGAAACCTTATGAGGAAAGAGGCAGCCCATAGATATCAACCAGAATGAAGAGAAGGAGAGAGGAAAGGCAGAAAGGAAGGAGGGGTGAAATTTTATTTCCGGACTCAGGGCTCAAGAAAGAGGTGAAGCATCTTCGTGTGCACCAGTAGATGAGTGAAGATTGGGGAGGAAATGGTGCCTGCCAAGAAGTTCATGTTTTCCCAAAGAATGCACACCTTAGCAGCCGGTTCTGAAGCAGGGAACAGCAGTGGGAGTGACTGATAAGAATGAGCATAAAGGAGCCTACATTCTTTTTGGACTCAGGTTATTTGGTCTTTAGGTAAAAAGCTCTGGAGAAAAGCAACAGAAACACTTTCTACCATGTGTTTTGGTGAAAGTTAACCAAGTTGTGACATGCGATGAATTCTCTTAATTAAAAAAAAGGAGTCAGACTCATTTTTGCCAAAATATTTCAGATTTCTGGAGCTTATCTCAATTTTCTCACCATGTAGAATGGACACTCAGCTGATAAACTGTTCTAGTTTGAATGAAATAAGATAGTCTTTCTATTTTTTTTAAAAAGGGAGCAGGGTAAACTCCCCAAAAACTATAATTAAAGAATAATTCAGCCTCAGTCAAATGATGAAAAAATATTGCTTAAAATACATATATATCTGGTAAATACTTATAAGACATGAATCAATGCCGTACTTCACATGTTAGTCTGTCTTAACATGCCTAGTTTGCCAAGGCAGCAGATAATAATGCAGCATTTTGGAAAGTCACCATGATGATAACTTTATATTAATTTTTCTATTATCACTGATATTAATAATAATGTATTTTAGATTTGCCTGAACCTATATCTATAGTCTGATTCTCAGATGACTTCTTCACATTCCATTTTAATGATGAAAATAATCATGAGTTAAGGTAGCTTGCAAAATAATATTTTTGGCAGAGTTAAGTAAAAATTTTGGAGTCTTTGATGTCTTAATCTTGGGTAATAACTACTGGTTAGTGAAAATTTAGTGTGCCAAGTGCTTTATTTATATTTAATCCTCACAACATCCCTGCAAGGCAGGTGAGGTATTATCATTAATGCCCCCTTTTAACTAGTGAGGAAGTTAAGGTATAGGTTAAATGATTTGCCAAAAAACACTCCGTTTGTAAATGGTAGAGTGAAGACTCAAACTGCTGATATAGACATAATGTGATGTTGTTTTTTAGAACTTAGATTAAATTTTTCCCATATGTTCTTAGAATCACATAAGCAGAAAGAGACCTTAGAGTAGAACCAATATTCTCTGCAACAGTCCTGGTGATTTACTTTCTACTGGGGTTTTTCCACGGCAGAGAGGTCCTCACCACTCAATAGACAGTCCATTCATATTGGAAAGAATCCTAAGAGAGTTTTGTCCATAAGCAGTCAATTTTGCCTCTCTAGAATGTTCTTCCATTCATTATGGAGCTTCCCTCTTTAAAGAAGTGTTAAAACGCAGATTTTAATTCAGGAAGTCTAGGATGGAGCTTGAGATGCTGCATTTCTCATAAGCTCCCAGACAAAGCTAGTGCCGCTGGTTTCTGGACTGCACTGTGAGAATCTACCTCCAACCAGTCAATTTAAATAGCCATCAGACAGGTTTATACCTAATTCCTTTTTTTTTCCTACAAGTTAGAGCCCCATTGATTCATCCTGTTTGTACCTCATAGGATAAGTTCATTTGTTAGAAATCCACCAGAATTTAAAGCATATTCTTGATGTAACCAGACTATGACAGACACCAATGAGTTCTGCATTTCTTGAGACCACAAACTATTAATGTAGCCTGAATACACTGGTCTTAGCTGTTAGTAGCCAACAACACAAAATGAACTTATAGTCAAGTAAATCTATCCAGACTTTCAAACACCAGGTTCTTAAGCTAATTTGTCACCTTTATCCTATATTCTCACTTAATTTTGTGTATTTTTGGTCTAGGTGAAAGACTACATTTATCTCTGTAGAATTCTATCTTGCTGGCTGTAGCCTTCTTTTCTACATGGAATTTTATGGTTTATTGAAGACATCAGTTTCCAACTTTGTATAACTCCAAACTTTATTAACCTACATTCATACTGGGTATCTGATAAAAAATACTGTAGACACAGAGACACCACAAGAGACCCCCCCCTTCATTTATTAAAATCCTTTTAACTGTCATTTGGCCAACTATGAGCTTACTAGTGTATAAACTGTGATGCTGATTAAACTACAAGTTTTACACATTTTCTAAAAGAATATCAAGACAGAACTTAGACTGTACAACATGGCTCTTCACCTTTTTCTTTACCTTCTGAGAGGGGAATTTGTCAAAAATTGGTCAAGACAAGAATTATCCAGAACAATGAGATGTAAAATATGACAATAAATCCACAAATGGAAGCCTCTTCCTTTATTGTATCTTGACATTCTGTCAGCTGATTTTAATGTTAATATTGTAGGCATTTACTACATAATTATTGTATTATGCATTATTTAAACCATCTACTATATTATCTTGGAAAAGCTGATCTCCCAACTTGCTCACTTTCCTCTTAAAATGGAGACAGATAATAGGTTTGATATAAAAAAAATGAGTAAGAATTTATATACAGGGCTGGCTCATATTAACCACTGGAAGCTTTAGCTATGATGACAGTGATGGTGACCATGATGTCTGCTATTATTTTGGAGACCCCTAAGGAACCATTCCTCACAGTTCATACCCTTGTGTATTCCTCTCATCTTGAATGTGGACTGGCTCTGTCAGTAACTTTAACCAAAGAAAGCAGTGTAAGTGATACAGTGCAATTTCTGGGTCTAATAGACCTTATTAAAAAGGTGTGGAAGCTTCAATTTTTGTGTGTGAGGGATGCCAACTGCTAGGTAAGAAGTCTGATGACCCTGAATCACCATACGGAGAGAAGCCCAACCCAGCCACATGGAGGAGCTCTTATTCAACACCCAGCAACAACTTGCCAGCTATGTGTGTGAGGCCACTGTGAGTACCTCTCCATAATCCACAGTCCGGCACACCTCCCTTGTCCTGGTTCATGTATCCAGCCTGGGTCTGGGTCCTAGCTTCCCCCACCCTCATTCAACCAGGAACAAATCCAGATAATACATAACAGTTCACCAAATAATTTCAGTAATATATTTTTCTTTCTGATGCACATATGGAAATCATTTACTGAAAATGATTTATGAGTGTGTTGTGTTTAATAAAAATAATGTGACTAATGTATCATTTTATTTTTAAAATAGCTGAAAAACACCTAAAAATACAAGGGCTTATCACATAGTATGGTGAAGATAACCTCATGATAAAACATCAAAAACTATGTAAACTCTTCCATCTTACCATTTTATATTCTTTCCAACCTCTTTGGAAATCTAGACTTCCATCTTCACGATGTTGTATTACAGTCCAACCTCCTCCATTAAGATCCATATTGCAAAATACCTGATAGACGCAGGGAAAATAAAGTCAAGTGAAAATTATGTCTGTTTTAAAGAGATAAGTATCAGATATGTTTCAAAACAGAAATAGGATGGGTAGGCCTATAGATAAATTGAATAAAAATTACTATGTTGAAAAATGTTAACTTAGATATCTTACCAGTTATTTTGTTTTACATTAGAATTGTTTTGATTAAATTCCATCATATAACTTACTTGTAAAAATTTAAATCAGTCAGCTGAAAATTGTCTTAGTCTCAGATTATAAAAATTATTTTTAAAAATCTGTCTTAAATGGTAATAGGCACTTAGGTATGTTCGATTTTTAAAAATGCTATCTAGGTTTCTAAAATTATAGACCATTTTATTGCCAAAACATAAGACTCAGAATTCTTAAGTTTTTAATTAACTGAAATGGTTATATAATAATAATAAAGGTTTTGAAAAATAATTTTTAAAAAAATCATATATATTTAGCTATTACATATTTCATTGCACATTAAGTCCTATACAGTTACATACTACAGTAATTATTCTTGATGGCTCAGTATTACATTAGAGGCAAAATTTGGTCCACAGCATATGGAGAACATATTATTTGCTTGAATTTTCGTCATGAACAATAATAGGAGAATATGACATACTGTATTTTTGACTGCGCAGTCAAAAATACAGTATGTCATATTCTCCTATTATTCCCCATGTGGAAAGTTATCCAATGCTTTCAAAGACTTATGCTCATTTCAATTATTCTAAAACAATAGTATTTATTTAGAAATCGATTCATTTGCCCCGAGTCTACCCAAGGAGAGAAGCATATCTGTAATGGGATTATCTTTAGAGAGTAATCACTGTAATTGATGTAGCATGAATGTGGCAGTTTGATTATTCAAGGTCCCAGCTATGGAGAACACCATTCCCCAGGCAACTGATGACTAAAGCATTTTGGAGGCTGGCTAAAGGTGTAGATATGATGCAACGGAGGCAGACAGGCTGTGCAGGCACATAGCTCAGCTCTGATTAAGGGCAAAAGCCTCAAGCGTTTTCCCTGAAGCCCTCAATTTGGAGCACAAATGGCTAACGGGTATGAAAACAGTGGCAACAACTGTCATTCAGAGGACAAATTGTCCATGTACTTCCTCAGAGTGAAAGGAACTAAGAGAACCATGACTATTTGTGAGCATATAAGTTAGGCAAACTGCTCTCTAGAGCGCTCTTCCTCTATTTTGACAACAGTCACCCATCAGTATGTCTTTAACTGTCCCTAGGAATTGACTCACCTTCAGTATAAATTGAAATTCTATTCTCTGTCCCAAGGTTCCCCCTCGACTCATCCCTTAACTATTCGGTACCCACTCTTTGTCTTCAACACAACCTCTAGCTAGTCTTTCCTCCTCCTCAATTCTAATTGATTCATTCACTTATTTTTTACTTAATCAGCATTTTTGGGCACTGATTCTGTTACAATTAGGGATACTATGATGAACAAAATATGGATCTTGCCCTCAAAATGCTTGAAAGTTTCAATAGTGATTGTTCCTGTAGGCTTAAGGAGATGTAGGAGTTCACAGTTTTTAGCTCCAGTGACCTGAAGAATGATATAGACAGAGATCTAAATAGATCTAAATGAAAAACTTAAGGGAAAATCTAACATACAAGAAAAGAAAATGATCATGGTTTTGGACACACAGAATTTGAGGTAGTATAGTCATCCAAAAGGGGGGGGTTCATCAATCAACTGGAGATGATCTAATGGAGGCAGACCAAGGATAAGACTATGGATAATAAAGGAATAAGAAAGGAATCACCATCAACAATAGCATGCTTGCTGTTAGATGCCTGATAATTTAAACACTTCATATGTATTTTCTATAACAACTCATGACAGTGATGTACATATATGACTATTATCCCTATTTTTCAGAAGATAAAGACAATTCTTAGAGTGTTTCAGTAACTTACCAATGGTTATTATTAATAACAAATCCTGCATCCAGGATTTGAACCCTATGTCTGTCTAATTCAAAACTGTATTGGGAGTAATCTGCTTGAGAGCAATAGTTGATAACATGAAAATGGATTATTTAAAGAAGTAAAGAAAAAGTGGAAAGAGATGTATATGTGCAGGAAGGGGGAGGATCCAAAAATGGGCTTTGGTGAACTGATGGAGGTAAAATACATCAATAACCTTTAGGCAGGCATTTGTCACTGTCCCTAGTGCCTAGAACAGTGCCTAGCCTATACTGGGTACTAAATGAATATTTGTTGAATAAATAGAGAAGCAAGAAGGAAAGATAAAATAGGAAAACCTGATTAACTCAATGAAAGCTGAGGATGGATTTTTGACTTGGGGAAGTGATCGACTTAATCAAATATTCAGAGAAGTCAAGACAAACAAAGATGAGGAAAATAAACACTTAAATTTGAAATGAAGGAGTCATTAGTGACCTTGAGGAGACTGCAGGATTCCTATGAGAATAAAACCCAGAGGGCACAGTTTAAAGAGGGCATAGGTGGTGATCCAAGACAAGTGGCCAAGGTGGAACTTTACTGGAGATACTTAAATAAGAGTCAGTGAAAATGTCAAGGAAACATTTTGCTAGAGGTAACTAGTGCCACTTGATTCTTAATTAAATTTTTACCCTGCCTTGACTGGTTAATCCAGAATTTTTTTTCCAGAATTTTCTTCTAAATGGACACTAATTGCCTGGAACTTTGCTAACCTGTGTTTGCAAAGCTATAAAGTCCACTTACTTACTCAGGGAAAGGAATAACTACATTTATCAATATGCAATGTGCAGAGGAAACTATTCTTCACAGTTTTGTTATTACTATTATCTATGTTATTAGAATTCTATGCACTTAAAGTTTTAAAAGCATTCACAAATTTTAGAAAAAGACCAATTTCCTTTTAAATAAACATATTCAGTGACTTGAGAATGTTAAGATGTGCTAAGAGTACTTCTCAGATAAAGGCCCAGAGAGAGTCGGAGCTACATGGGGAGGCAGAAGTTCCCCAGGAGGATTATTGTGTTAGAAGCCAAGGTGCAGAGAAGGTAAGATGTTGGACATTTGCTCCACAGTTCTTATTATGACTCAATAACAGCAGTAATAATAATAATAGCTGCCATTGTGGAATATGGTCACAATAGAGCTGAAGGGTGTATTGGTTAGGGGCATGAACTTGGGTACCAAATTACCTGTGTCAAATCCCAACTCTGTTCTCTTTATCACTTAGGTTTTTGCAAGGACTAAATGAGTCAATGCATGTAGAATTTTTAGAATAGTGCTTGATACATAATGGGCTTTGCCATGACCCTCATTTCTTAGATGTATTTTACATATGAGATAGTATGTATTTACATTATGCATTATATACTCGGCATATAATATCTTACATATTGTAGCATAGTTTACTATTATATATACCATTGCATATAATTTATTGTTTATAATAAGAATAATATGGAATGTACAAAATCAAAATATGTAATAGTTCCATAAATTGTCCTTAAGATCACCAGCTTAATAATATGTATTAATATATTTTATATAATTTATATTTTATATAATATGTATTTTCTATATTTATGATTAATATAGTAATATAATATATAATGTAAATATAATAATATTGACATCGCTAATCTCTGAGCATGCCTCTTTTTATTACATATCTATTTAAGAAGTTGGATTCACTCTAGCCAAAAAAAAAAAACAACCCAAAAAACATGTTATTTCTAGTCAGAAGAAAAATAAAAAAGCCTATGCTTAACAGATGAAGGAAGTTTAAGAAAATAGGAGGTTGGTTTCAAAAGATTTGAGACATGAAAGGACTTGAAAAGTTCATTCGCCAATATTGTGTGGTCTGTGCTATCTGGTGGTGCCTTCCTGGAGACAAGAGCCCCGCTACATTTACTATGCCTGTTGCATTTATTGATCATATGACTTGGGCTTAACTCCATCCAAGAAAAGATTGAACTGGCTCCTATCCCAGGCAAGGTCAAAGCTTTCAAGCATTAAATACCTTTTAACATAATACAGAGATTTAAACCCAAACAAAAAGGGGAAATTTGATTCACATAGTTCTTACGGTTTTATGCTCCATACAAGTTGGAATGATTAGGCTTGAGGATGTTAATTATTTTTCCATAACCTTAAGTAAAAAAAAAGGCTCAACACATTTGTTATGGTCCTTTCCCAAGAATTAGGGGACTCACAATTCAGAAACAAATTTTTAATATTTTATAATAAGCAGAGTTATGATTTAATGGTTTGAATTTTTGGATGAATCTAAGCTGGCTAGAAAGCCTTTAGTTTTAGAAACTGATGAACTAGAAGGAAAAATCCTATTTCCTACTACTATGCATTGAAGGGAATTCAGAGAGAAAATAACCACAGCCATTAGTACTACAAAGGTAAAAAATAAATACATAAATGATTTAATTCTCATATTTGATCTGCTTGAAAAATTAATTAGTCTTAGAAAACTGCCTTCATCTCATTTGAAAAGATAATAGTTATTTTCAGACATCATTTCTTAGAAGGGAATGATGTCGGTTAGAAAAATAAATGTATACCAATTCTGTATGTATGCGACTCTTACTCTGCTTACAAGATGAGTACCTCTTAATAGCTTTTGTTAGCTGCCTAAATAGCCCAATTTTATTGATTGGTCCATATCCCAGACCTTACATATTTGAACTTGCTTTATTTTTTATTTTTTTAAAGATTTTATTTATTTGACACACAGAGAGAGCGAGAGAGAGAGAGAGAGAGAGAGAGGGAGAGAGCACAAGCAGGGGTAGCGGCAGGCAGAGGGAGAAGCAGGCTTCCTGCATGAGCAGGGAGCCCGATGTGGGGCTCGATCCCAGGACCCTGGGATCATGGCCTGAGCTGAAGGCAGTGGTTTAACCAACTGAGCCACCCAGGCGCCCCAGAACTTGCTTTATTTTTTATAAGCTTGCCTTGAGTTTCATACCCTTGCTAGAACTTCTGCAAGCATAAAAATAAGCAAAGCTTTTGCTAAGCATATCCAAACGTAGCACCAAATTTTATATTTACAAAGCACAATTTACTGGGAAGAGTGACGATCATAAAGATGCATTTTCCAAGCACTTTTTACAGGATTCAGAGAATTTCAATGATTTATATCAACACAGGAGAAGAAAATGAGATTACAAGGTAGGAAGGAGCAGGGTGGTTTATAATCAGAACATGAATCAATTTTACATAATTTTCTGATAATAAACTCTTTCCTGTGTCACTCATATAGGTTCCGATTAAAGAAATTATAAGTGGTGCAACTTCAGTCACCACTAACATAATTATCTCATTTAGCCCCCTGCTAAGAGATACAGTCTGGAGTTGATGCTTTTATTACAAAGCCTGTGTTCAGTATCTATTAACTATGTGATTTGGGCAAGTTATTTTTCTAAAATAGGGATAAGGGAACACCCATCTCATAGAGTTACTGAAAAGAGTAAACAAGTGAGTTTTTACATCTAAAGTGCTTAGAATATACCTGGCAAACTGTAAATGCATTTGAACTACTGTATCAACCAGCTTCTAAATTATACCAGGGAAAATTCACACAATAATTTTTCTTACTGGTGCCATGATAAATGAGATGTTTTAAAAAATTGCTATCTATGAAAAGTGCAGGTTTATCAGTTTAAAGTTTCCATAATAGAACAACATTACTACTTGTGAGAGGATCCGTGATCATAAATGGGAAAGAATAAAACAAAGGAAGGAACACCTAAGTCAAGAAGACCTAAGACTTTTTCCCTTCTACTCAGTGATCTCTCCCTCTCACCACGCTCTGCTATTTCCAATAAAACTAAAATCTAATGATAGTTCTGACCAAATGCCATGTGAACTTCTTTCCTCTGAAAAGTCATGGGGCTATTTCCATAGTGATAAAAATTTGCCTCTTACAGGCTTACTTGCTCAGGCTACCATTTTCCCTTGGGCCCAAACCTTAAGGTTTAACTGAGCAGACAGTTGACAGTTGGAATTTAATATTTTAGATTTCATTTATTCAAGAACAATCCTGAAGCTCCATCACATGGAAAATCCATCATTTTGCAGAGGTATAAGTTTAAATCATGCCATCCTGATGAAACCAACACAGGAGTCAGCTACCGAACTAGTGAATTGGATCCTCCAACCCACACTTTTATGTAAATATTAAAAGCAAATTTATTCAAGATTATGACTTAAGATAATATACCTTTCTTCCACCCTAACAGGAGCAGTAGTTCTGCAAATAGCCTGCACATCATTTGCATCTCAAAATGTTCTGAACTAGCATAGTTCAAAACACTGGTTATGGTTATACATGAATTAAAATTCATGGAATGATCAAACTTATTTGTAATGTCCCCTTTGTCAAAACTTGGGGCCATGTGGCAGGATTGGGTGATGGAGTGAAAAAGATTCTGAAAGTGTGAATGTTAATTTGAAATCCCTAAAAATTGCTTTTATTATATCACAGCATCATTAAGTGTCTAAAAGGAGGGTAACTGACAATAATTTGGGGGTTCTTTCAGGTCATGGGGAATACAGGTCATGGAGAACACAAGTAGGTAAATTATAGAGTATTTATGTTAGCTCCGCTCCTCCCCAGGACAGTTTTTGATAAACTTTACATGCTAGATGTATGGTGTAAGAGTATGTGGATGTATGTACATGCCCAAGTGTATGCCAATTGAATTTAAGCTTAAGTATGATTCTAAGATATCAGCAAGTAGGGTAGGAAGGGTTCATGTCATAAGATCCAAAGGATCCGAAAGGTTCCCCCTCACAATGAGTTACCCTCTTTTTACTCCTAGACTCACCATTGAACCCTCATAGTTATTTTTTTTTTCTCTTAAGTCATGGAACACTCAATTTAGTGAGATTTTGCACAGAAGCCCAAGATGAAAAACAGGTAAAACTAAACTTCTGTGGTAGTTGGCCCAGGTAGCAATGTATGGAACTGTGACCACTGCTTTTTTTGCCCACTGCATGTTCTCCCTCCTTCTCCATTATGGAAGAGCATGAAAGGCCTCCTTTCAGAAAAAAAAAAATTGTGTCCCAGCAAAGGGAAACAAAAAAACACTGAGCTAACTGAAACCACTAATCCTTACTGAAATCAGGAGAGAAAGGACGCTGGTAGAGTCCATATTCTCTTCTTGACAATGATGTAACATCTGGCAAACTACTCTCCAAGATTCATTTCTCTCATCCATCAAAGGAGACTAATAATCAAGAAGGCTAAGTTAGGCTTACATACTATATACTATGTTGAAATGTTGATATTATTGTCAGAAGTTCATTCATTCGTTTAAACACATATTTATTGAAGACCTGCTATGTGCCCGAAACTATGCTGGGTCCCAGGAAACCAAAGACAAAAAGGCACGATCCTTGCCTTGTAGAACTTTGCTAGTGAAAAAGTCATGCAAAGCTGCTTGAGGGAATTAGGGAAGGCCTTCCAAGAGCACTTGCACAGTATCCACAGGAAATGAGGATGCAGGACTGGTAATTTAGGTGGGGCAAAGAGGAGAGGAAAATTGTTTCATCCTTTGAGGATGGAGGATTACAAACGCAGGTGGTCTTCTAAGTCATGGGTCTCTCTTGGCATCTTGGGCAAAAACTTTAACATGTCAAAGAGCAGGGCTCTCCTTACATCTCTCCACAAATCCTGCTTTGAACAGACTGTCTCAATCACTACACTTCTACAGTCTGTTATAATCATCTGTGTAATTGTCTGTCTTCAGCACTACAGTGGGATCTGTTTGTTCTATATTGTGTTCCTAGGCAGTGACTGACAAATGACATCCACTTAATATGTATTGAGTGAAGGAATGGATGGATGATTTAGTGAATAGATAGGGAAAAAGAGTTAGAACAGCAAGAACATAGTATTTACTTACTTCAAAGTTTACTTTGGATCCTGTTCAACATACTAATGAATCCTAGCCTCCAACCCACTCTTTTAGGTAAACATGAAAAGCAAATCCTATCAAGATGATTAGTCAAGATAGAATATGTTTCTCCCACCCTAATAGGAACACTGATTCTGCAAATAGTAATATGTCCCTGGCAGCCCCTCCACAGTATTTAGACTATAGATGATGTGTGCCGTCTGGGTCCTTGGGACCTTGAAAGATTGCTCCTACCTCTTCTCCATGTACTTGAAGTACATATCACCTCAACATGTAATCTACACAAGGCAAGCATTTATGAGCAATGGGACAACCCAGGAATGAGCAGAGAATAAATAAAAAACTTTGTGAAAGAGGGATGGGAGGTATGGGTTTGGGGGAGGTTTGTGCAATAGGGTTTTCATCTTTATGGACCTGGCAAACAGAATCTTTGGGAGAAAAGAGCTCAGGCATATATATTTTCAGCTTAACAAACTCACAAATCAGTCTGATTATTCAGCAATTCAACTAGGATCTGCTTTACATCTCGTAAACAAACACTTCTGGTTTTACCTTTTTGGGTTCTGGCATATTATTAATATAAATAGTGTAGATTCCACTTTTATTAAAACCAGCTTGATATACATCTGCACAGTCTCTAAATGGTTTCTCTTCCTCTTTTTTTCCTCCCTTTAGTAAAACTGCAAAAAAAAAAATTGCAATATGTGAGCAAAAATATCAGTACCATTAGTACCCGAATGGATCCAAGTACAGCTAAACAAGTCTTTATTTCCTCCAAACAAATGTCAATATTGCATTTACTGACAAATCAATCATAAAGACAATACTAGATTTGAGCTGACTCACAAAATTACAAAACTAACGGAAAAATCTGTAGAGCAATTTCTAACTGAATACTTTTTATATTTTGCTTACTTAAATTTTGTTTTTATCTATAATTTCCAGAACATCAACTCAAGGGACAAATGGCCTGATAGTGTAACACCTCCAACTAGTAATAATTATGTCAATTTTCCTCCAAAATTTCTAAAATGTTCTTACCTAGATTTCATAGGAAACTTTTAAAAAAATGCTAAAGCGTTTTTGGAGGAGAAAGAGATAATGATAACAAATTCAAAAATAAAAATACCATATGGAGGTTTAAAACACTAGAAGTAGATAGAACTGTTTTTCTGTGGCTTTGGACTGATAAGCTCCTAGAAATTTCTATTAAAAAAAACACACCTCAAAATATTTAGATTTAGAAAGTAGAAAAGAGCCTCTGACCTAATTTACCTAGAAAGAAAAGGCAACTGAACTTTGTTTTTTTTTTTTTAAGATTTTTATTTATTTATTTGACAGAGAGACACAGCGAGAGAGGGAACACACAAGCAGGGGGAGTGGGAGAGGGAGAAGCAGGCTTCCCGTGGAGCAGGGAGCCTGATGTGAGGCTCGATCCCAGGACCCTGGGTCCATGACCTGAGCCGAAGGCAGATGCTCAACAACTAAGCCACCCAGGCACCCCTGAACTTTGTTTTTTATTTAATGCCTGAAGTTAAACTACCGGGCAGATAATATACCAATAAAAGAACACAAATGAGTAAGTTTTGAAATTACCATATAGGGGAAGAGTTCAGTAAAGGGTGGAAGTCAAATGAAAAAGGAAATTTAATTAGATAGGCTCTACTGAGAATTTTATTCACTGACCTTCATCTATTATGAAGTTCTTATTACTGAGATCAAAATACAAAAATGACTCATCTTTAGTAGTCCTTTGCTAAAGATATACATGGCACATTTACAAACTATTTATTAATATTTTCTAATAAACATATAGTTTGGTAATTCGTTTCATTAACCCCTTCAAGAAGATTTTTTAAGATTATTTTATCACCTTGCCCTTAAAGTCTCATGTTATTTAATAAATACCTGCTTTCAATCACTTTGAGTCATGATGGCCTTTTTTAATAAGAATCAAAAGTAAACTATTAAATGATGCTTTTAAGTTGATTTTACATGCTCTAACAATCTAAAGCAATAGCCTGATTTAAACTTAAGAAGCATGAGTTTACTAATTTATAGGTAATTAAAAATAGTCTAAACTGATGGAAAGAATGACTATCTCAATATAAATACTTCAAATTTCCAAAAATAATTACGTTTCAAGAAAATTAAATATCCACTCAGATATACTGCCATAGCAAAAATATAGAATTATAACGTTTAATAGTATTATGGTTTTCTATACTCATGTGTGCACTGATGGCTTTGTCTACTTATATTAATAATTACATCTAAACACCACCATTGCAGCTGCAATATCAACACACAATAAATAGAGGACTATGCATTCATAGGACAGTGAAGAAGCATGGCACAGAAGGTATGCAAATAGCAATTTAAAAATGAATATATAAATGCTGATTCAAAAGCCATCTTTAACTGCAATGGGTGTGTTATGTAAAAGTATTGTTCTGAAAAACATCAACACAGTTCATTTGTACTTGCTTATTTTAAGTTAATGGACTGCTATTTTTCTAAAACAAAACCTTCCTAAATTCTAAATGTTTAATCTTCTATTGAAACAAGTTGAAAATGACCAAATTAGAAGCAAAAAAAAAAAAAATTAAAAAGGGAAGGGATGTAAAGAAATGCCAAATAAAATTTATGATCCCTTGAGAGGATGAACACAGGAAGATGTGGTCAAGAGGAATTCAACGGTAAACCCATTTTTCTTTTTTGGGTAAGAGATGGGGAAAGTCACTTATCTAAGGAGAAAATGCTTCTCTTACTGAGTATACCACTTCCTGCTCCCCCTTATTTAGTTATGCAGTGAGAATACACTCCATTCCCACTTCTCTGTCACCTCCCCTCCTCTTTTCCTTTTCTCCTCAGGAAGATGTGGGTGAAAGGGCTGTTGTGTGGGAAGAGGGAAACCCACACGTATTTTCAATAATAGAGAAAAATAAAAGAAGCTGAGTATTAGTTTATTTTTATGGAAACTGCATAAAAATGATGTTCAAACCCTGAATATAAGTCTTATAACTGGAAAAATGGCTTAAAGATTCTATCATAAAAGGAACAAATAGTATTATGGTTATACTATGGATTTGTTGTTATTGTAATGGCAACATACCTTATGAAGATATTTCATTTACTTGAAATATAGTTTGGTATTTTTGAAAAATAGAATCACATTCTTTCCAGAAGAAACAGTCATTTTTCCAGAAAGATTGGATTGCTTGTATTTAATTACTTATTAATTAGTAAACATTATGTTTGAAAGTTTGATCCAGGCTATATTTTAGAGTACTAAAGCACTTAAAATCAGTATAAAAGCTCCATTCACAGCTTACCTTTGACATTTGTATTAAATACTATGGTTTGAAAAAGGCCCTTCTATAAAGGTAGACTGATCTTCAGTTTTTCTTTTTTCAATCTACAAAGTGGGGCAGTTAAATGTAGCTCTGAGGCAAGTGTATGGATTATTTAACCCAGCAGAGTGACTGAATTACAGTAAGAACTCAAGAAATGGTAGTTATTATTATTGTTATAGTAATAATATTATTAATGGCAACATTATATCATTATTCTTTCTTACAGAAGTGACACTAGCAGGCTGGAGAAGGCCAGCGAGTCCAGTCAATGGAATAGTAGATCTTCCATCCTCAAATCCAATATTATAGCTGACCAAATGTTAGCAATTACAACTGACTGGTTATATTTAGGATTATACTGAACTGGCCTTTCCTTATCAAAGTTGGCTAATTGGTTTATTTTATTCATTGACTATACCACATCATAACATTGTTTAAGTCTAAAAAAACCCATTGCTGCATATATAAACTTAATCTGAACAGTTAAAATTAAAAGATTATTTCAGATGAAATGACATATGATGTGTATAACAACGCACTGATTGTAGAAGTTTTAATGCCATAACTTTAATTTGCATGACTAATTATTTTCTTTGTTATGCACTAGAGATATTATGGTTATGTATTGTAAAGCTGGACACATAATAAACATTTTAAAAGAAAGAAAGACAATAAAAAGATGAATTTACTGACCATTACAAGTGTCAGAACTAAGGATACATTTTTGTAGGAGGTCTTGAGTTTCAATAAAATGGAAGATAATGTCCAGAGGAATGTATGGTGAATGACATGATACAGATATGGAATACATGATGGAACAGGATGAAAGAAGCATCAGCTGGACGAGCCAGCGACAATAGAGAGCTGATTGAGGTGTTTTTCTATCTGTCAAAGTAGCTCAAACTTTTTATAATAATAGACTGGTTTAAAAGCATGAATTAAAAAATTTATCTTTATATTTAAAAGTTCCTTCTTTGATCATATACTCTCTTTTTCCTCTCCCTTTAATTCTTAATGAGTTTGTCTTTCCTAATTGAGAGTCTGGATCCCCACCATTACTATCAGTCCCGCACTAGCCTCCCTTTCCTTTCCTCCTAACTTCTATCTCACCAACAGGTATTAAAAAACAGTTCAGGTTGGAATTCCTCGTGTTCTCCACCCACTGTCCTTTCATCTACTAATCCCTTGCATGGGTAAATCCCAACTAAAGGAAGGACATTTATTCATTTTCTCACCCCTGCTTTCAGATTGCAAACACTGAAGTGAGGCTTTTTAATGTCATACAAATGCATATTTTCTAAACTCAGCAATGCTATATTGGGATGCCTGGGTGGCTCAGTCAGTTAAGCATCTGTTTTCGGCTCAGGTCATGATCCCAGGGTCCTGGGATTGAGTCCCGCATCGGACTCCTTGCTCAGAGAGGAGTCTGCTTCTCCCTCTGCCTGCCGCTCCCCCTGCTTGTGTGTGCTCTCTCTCTCTCTGACAAATAAATAAATTTAAAAAAAATCCATGCTATATTTATTAATTCAACAAATATTGATTGAGCATCTTTCCTGTGCATGACTTCTCCCAGACAGTGAAGATACAGACATAAGAAAACCACAATCTGCTCTTAACGTAATCACAGTCTGATGGGAGAAAGTCCTACTATATTAGTAGGTCTTCTAATGATAACTCATGATAGATACATCCATGATTAGTACTTTCCAGGACAGAGGAGAATTCAAGCTAGCTTAAGCAAAAAGATAATTTATTCAACCATAAACAATGTAAAATAGAATTTTAGGTAAAGCATAATCAGATTTTAAAGAATGTGAAGAGGAATTGGTTTCTTTATCTTTTTTTGGACACAGCTGATGAGTCTCTGCCTGGTCACAAGATGACTAGCAACAGCTTCTAGAGCTATAAGGTTACCAGCTTGAATATAGCACCAAAGAGAGATTATGCACACTACTGTTATTTTGGAGGTATGTATCAAGTTCACTGGGAATATTCAGGGAGAATATATTCTGTCTGCCATGTAAACTTGGGGAAGGCTGTCCAGAAGAGAGGACAGTTGAACGAAAAAGAAAAAAACAAAAACAAAAACGTAAAGCAGTTTATCTGAACTAAATTTTAAAAGCCTGGTATGGCAATTCAAAGACTTTGTGCACACCAATATCAACAAATAATTCTAGAAAGTCTTAGGAAAGAATCATTATTCATTCTTTTCATTTAGCCTTATCTCTGTCACCTAATCTTCATGATCTAAAGGGAAAGAATAGGGACACAAGCAGGTGCATGTCTGTCTTTCACCAGCCAACATTCAGTCAATAAGCAACCTG